AAACGTGGGTGAATCTCGTGTTTCTGTCTTCGTGAACAGTATTTCGTCGCAAATCAGTTCAAACAAACAGGGGCTAAGTGTACCATAGGTGCCCTACAACTAGTTGTTGACTTTGGTCAATGATGTCATGAGTGAGACGTTTTAGACTGAAATAGGACTTTATCGACAAATTGGACCGTACATAACATATTTATTTTAATAATTTTATGAAGTTATCCACAAATTTTTCATGTTTCTTTTGTCTCTTTAAATATCATATTAGAATTTAATTAGAATAAAGTGTGAAAGAATTTTTCATTGTTTCTATTTTTAAATTGCTTACGTCGGATTTTAACTTAGTTGATATCAAATAAAAAAAATATTTGAATGTTAATTTGTTCATCTTTTACTACGTTCAATTCCTTTATTTTCTACAAATAATTCCTTTATCATATTTTTGTTTTGTTTTATTCTATATATAAAAATAAAAGAGAGAAATTTCATAGATGATTGTATTTCTATATATTTTGTCATGGTTGTATTTTAATTTTTGTTGGGTAATGATTATGAATAGTTAAAAAAGAAAATTTCTCTAAACAAATTTTATTTGAGAGATGACATACAAATATAAGATATAAGAAAGTAATAAAAGAGAAAGATAAATTATGTGTCATTTTTAACTTAAAATCAATTGATATTAACGAAATAATATATAAATATATAATTTATATTTTGGAGAATTGAGATAAGTAACGTGAATTATAATTTATATTTTGGAAAATTGAGGTAAGTAACGTCACATTCTTCCCAATATGAGTATCTTTTCTTAATTATGAAAATTTGTACTAAGAGATTTTGTTTAATATCAATTGGTTGTAACTAAAACATAACGTAAACATCTTTCTAATTGTCATTAATATTTAAGAGACTACTATGTTTTCTACCTTATTTTTTAAAGTATAATTTATATATTTTTAATAAAAAATCTGACTCAAACACGAGAGAGAATAATAAAAAATTCTCTTCTGACAAGAAAATACGATAAATAAATATAATTCTCAATCCGTTTTTGTAACATTGAATTAGATAACATTTTATTATAAAATTTTAAATTTACAATATTATAAAAAATATATTTTGACAAGTTATATAACTTAAAATTAAGACATTATCCAAATTAAATAAGTAAAACAAAATGAGTAAGAGTTGAAGATATCTTAATAGTTTATAAATTTGTGAATATTTAAAATTTAAAATCTACAAATTTCAACTAAAATTATATTTTGACAATCTATTTTAATATAATAATAAATATTATTATTTAAAGTTTTATATCTATTATTATTATTATATTATTAATTTGAATTGGGTAAGAATTGTTTAAATTATTTGGGATGTATAAATATCATTGTCATATAACTCTTTATCTAAACCTAATATGAAATACAAAGTCAAATTTATAAAATAAAATCCTATTTGTTCGTAACTTTCTCGTAACTTCTAACAATCACATGTACCTTTCTAATAACTTTCAACAAATTTATTTTTTATTTTTATATTATTCAAAATCTCCATTTTTTATCTGTCTAATCATTAAAATATAAATTATTTTAATAAATCAAAGTAACATAGAAGTTAACACCCGCATAATAAACTCTCTTTTTTCCACCAAATCTTCATGAAACTTTCGTGCAACATTTTTTTTTTTTAGATTTCTACTTTCTTCTTTCTTGAGGGAACTCACTCTTTCCTTCAAAGTTTTCAACAATGTTTGAAGTAACATGTGGCGTCTTCTTTTTTTCCTCGTTCATCAATTACGGGTGTTGGAAGTTTCGTATGGGCAATTATATAATTTAAATATATGTTAGAGTATTTCACGTATTACAATTTTATATTAAAATTTTAATATAATATTAGAATCAAAATTTAACATTTTTTTAATTATTGTTTTAGGTCAAAAGCTATTTATTTTGTTTAGTGGATCAAAATTCCTCTTTCATGGTAAATTAATATTAATATATATTTTTAAAATTTTAATTTTTAACATTTTTTTTGTCTTTGTAAAAGTTGCCTTTTTGACTAACGGTGTTGGTTGGTACATTTATTGAATATATAAACACATCAAAACCTTTTTCATAAAAAAAAAAATTAAAACCAGAGACCTTTTCAATGGACAAACTTGTTTTATACAGAAAAAATTGAAATTGAATTCAAAATCACATGTTTAAAGAAAATCTTAAGATTCTTCAACTTATATCAACTCGTGTCTGTGTCACAACCTTTACTATGAAGTACTGTATTTTCTCATTTAAAAATTGTCATTTTTAACTATATATAATTATGAATTTGGTGGAATATTTTACTCAAGTCACAGTATCTAACCTCAAGTGTTTTGCTAATATACTCTCGTTTAATATCTTTTTGAAATATTAACTCTCAATAACCCATTAATATACTCCGAAAAATAATTAAAAGTACATGAAAATATTAATTTTAAAAAAATGCACCGATTTTTGTTGACCTGATTAATTGAGTCCTTGCAAAAAAATTGATTAAGTCAAATTGAATCACCGTTTGTTTGAATATAGCTGTTTTGACACACTATTCAAGTTAATTTACTTGACTAAGTGGTTGGTCTCATTTCAGTGTTTTCAAACTTATTTTTTGAATTTTTGCTTTTTAAAATTTAAATAAAATTTCAGCTAAGAACAAATTATTGTATAAAATGTTCATAACAAATATCTTCAATAAGCTTAAATAAATATACCATTTCCAAATAATTTAACTTTAAATTTAAACTGATATTTTTTATTAACTTAAAATATTTTTAAAATTATAAGAAATGCAGGCCAAACACCATCTAAAATATTTGAACTATATTTTCTCTTGATAAAAGTTTGAACCACACAAATATTTTAATTTCTAAATATATATTTAGAGTTTAACTTAAAGTGAAAAATAAAAATATACTATTAATCAATTAAAAATGATAATTAATAAGTATGACTCTTAACAAAATAATCATTACAGAAATCAATAACCTTACCATTTATGACAATCTAAGATAGAATTATAATGTAATTATATTTAAGTTAATTTCCATTTTCAATGGAAAAATATTTTACAAAATATTTTAAACTTTCTTCAATTTTATATTCATTGATTTACTTAGTGGTTTAAGAAAATTGCAAACGGGTCTATTATTATTATTATTATTATTATTATTATTATTATTATTTATTAGTCGAATGAATTGTTAGATGATACTTAATTATCACTTGAATACTGTTTCAATTAATATTTATGTAGATTGATAGGATCATAATAAACCAAACAATGGACCGACACTGTCTAATAATTTATCCATTATGTCACGGGTTAGCTTACTTATATTTTAAATTTATTAATTTAACAATAAATTATAACATTTCATTTTTTTTTCATTATTGCGCCATGAATGTGAAGTATTATATAAACTTAATTGGAAATAAATTTTATAAATTTTTTTGATTAATTATCTTTAACAAAATATCTATTCTCAATTACGTTTTTTATATGCATATAATATCGAAACCAAAAATTTATTTAAAAAAAAAAAAAACCTGAGTTGAGTTTCATTTCTACATATTGTAATGTTTATTTATTGCGGTGCCGTGGTTTGATTATGCAGAAACTTGCAGTTCTTGATTTTCAAACCACTCTTGAACAGCTAAGCGGTGCAATTTCAAGGCCCACACAACCTACCATTTTATTTTTCTCAACATCTAACGGAGGAAAGTTATGGTTGGAAACACCATATGAATCATCTCCAATTAGCTTTTCCTACATTTTAGATATTTCTTCAACAACATGCAGCAGTGCGGAATTAGACAACTATGACATGTTCATGACTCATGAACAACTTTGGAAACACAAGTTAGTGGATAAATTCTAAACCTTAAAGGACTCTTTGTCTTGTTACAGATATAGTCAGTTAGGAACTGCTAGGTTTTTTCATCTCTAGATATTTATGGATTGCACCTTGTTAGATATGCAAAATCAAAGTAGGTGTTGTATATGTTGTTATTATAAGTATTTCTATCAGGGTATATTACTTCTGAGAAGTATGTTAAAAAGTTGAGCAATTGGAACTACTGCATGATACAAAAGTTTAACTAAACCAGGTTTAGTTGTTAAGTGTTAGAAGTTTAGTTGAAAAATTGATAGTTTTGACTTTTATATTAGAACAGTGAAAGAGCAAAAAAGGAAATTAATTGATAGAATAAAAAGGACTTACGTAGGGGAGTAGCTGCTAGATAATGGTTATATGCTTAAAATCGACATGTGTTCGGATCTTAGGGAACCTGACTTTGATTGAAACGAAGTACATGAAATCCGTGTTATTCAAGATTTGAATAATTGATGCATGCTAGCAAGATGGGACACACGTATTTCTTCTTTTTCATCGTAGTGCCGTGATTCTTTGGCATTTCCGCTTCTTTTGTTTTTCATTTTTCATTTTTCCCTCTTGGTCTTATTACCACTGCTCATTTACCTTGGATTAATTTCGTATGTGTTTTTTGAACTCACATCAGTAGCAACATTTCAGTTTACTGTGGCCTTGAGGCGTTCTTATGGATACAGAAGTAATAATTAGTTGAATTCATCAATACAATCTTCTGAGGACTTTTCCTCATATTTGAAGGAGAAAAAATAATAAAGAAAATAGTGAGGAAATGAAAAGAACTTAATACTATGATCTGATCCTGGCTGTGAAACCTCCTATATACACTTAACATCCCTGTGTTGTATGTTATTATTGTCAAGACTACCCCTTTGGGTTTCTCTTGGCCAAAAAGAAGAAGGGAAGAGTTGTTGATCTCCCTTGTTTGGTTATCCATTTCAATGTGGACTGTGTCTTTATCATCTATCTGGAGAGTGTGGAAACCAATTCTGAGAGCTATGAAGGCATTCTTTCCATATTTAGAAAGGTACTATAAAACCAGGGTTGGATGTGTGATTTGTTTGAGTGACATTAGTATCTATTTCTTGGGATAAAGTGTGATGGGTAAGCCATTTTGGGGAAGAGCAAAAGGACCATATTGAATCCCGTTCTTTGCACCGACCACAGACCACCTGCACCAGAAAAATAGAAGCAACACTTTAGAAACATTCTAAACCCCTTAATTTGGAATGTGTCTCCATTCAAAGCATATGGCTTAAAAAGTGTTGTAACGAGACACTTCTGCTTGTGAGTAAGTTTACCAACCTGAACTTTGTGGTCAGGTGATGTAGGAGGACCAAAATCTCCAACTTGGCTAATTCATTCCCTGGACACGCGTGGATCCCACTGCCAAATGGCATAAAACTATTGGGTTTTGGTGCAGCCTGGCAAATTGTTAAACAGAATCTGTCAAGCTCTGGACTTGGTATCACATAATAATAATAATAATAATAATAATAATAATAATAATAACAACAAAACCATGGTAGGTAAACCTGGTTTCACCAAAAATAATTACCTCAAATCTTGAGGGATCAAATTTTTCTGGCTCCTTGAAGTTCTCTGGACTGTGGTGTATGTTCCTAAATAGAGGTAGCACTTTCCACCCTTTTGGTATAAGATACCCTGAAGAAAACAATGAGCAACACAGAATCTGTGAGCCTAAGTGAGAAAAGGAAAGGAGGTCTTTGAGCTATAAACTAGAAAATAACAGAAAAGAAAGAAAGGCAAGGAAGGAATCATATCAGATTTGGTTATTGACCTTGATATTCAACATCCTCTACTGCTTCTCTGAAAGTAAAAGACAAAATTGAAGCAACTCTTAGAGTTTCCTGAATAACCCTTGAAGTTATCGGCATCTTTCTGGTATCTTCCCAATTCAGACCCTTATCCTCTCCACTTTCTTCCTTGCTCTTCAATACGCACTCTTGCTCCTCCTGTAAAGTCCAAAAATTTAGAAAGTGTCAGGACTAAGGGATCAAACCATTTTAAGTAGCCATACATGAGCATCTTCTCTCTTCCTTTTCTAGTATCTCTTTCTTTTTCCAGTGCAGATTCATTTTTGTAGAATCATTTTGGAAAAACTTTACTATTTTTATGCCCTCAAAATCGAAAAAAGATAAAGGATGGTAGGACCCAGATACTCACAGTAACAGCTTCTAAGACACTGGGGTTTTCACCAAGGTACTTGACAATCCACGTCAGCACACTGGCTGTGGTGTCACGAGCTGCAAAAATGACGCCAATTACATTATCTGCTATCTGCTCGTCGGTGAGCCCTGCTTTCTCTCCCATGAATGAACCCAACAAGTCCTTGTATTCCTGTTTCCTCTGCCTCCTGCTGGAGATTATCTGGGCCAAGATCTGCGCAAGCTCCTTCCTCGCTTTCATCGCTTTGTGGAACAGTGTCCCCGGAACGTTAATGGGCATTGAGTTGTACCCTTGCTCTAGAGTATAGTAGCACCGTTTCAGAGCATCTCTGTACAGAATCTCTTCTTTCCCGAAAATTGAAAGCAGAGCCACGTTGAAGGTGAACTGCAGTATACCCAAAACCGCAAACCGTAAAAACCCCATTTTTTATTTTGTCATAAAACCTTAAAAATCATCGACCAGCAAGGAATTAGAAATAGCTAGTGTTCTTTTATTATTTGTATTAGTTATTTTTTTAAGGAAGGTGAACAGAGGAAACAGAGAGGCTCTGTTTCGGAGGGCTCACCGTTTTCATTTCAAGGAAAGTGGTGATCAAACGGCCTTCCCAGGATTTTAAGCAAGCTTGGGCAATGGATTCAATGTCAGGTACGATGTTTTTAATGGCTTCTGGCATGAAGGTGCGAAGAACAAGCCTTCTCAAGTTAGCATGGTACTCTCCTTGGTGAAAAAAGATAGCTTGTTTTCCCAACATCCTCTCTTTGCTAGCTGGGAATGTTGGCTTGAACAGCTGAGCTTTGTTGAGCACAAACTTGGCAGCCTCGGGGCTGGAAATCATCACGCAGGGACATCCTAGAATGTGGGACTTGAACATAGAGCCATACCTAGATAACAAAAAATTGACATGTGTGTAAGTGAAATTTGTCCGCTCATGAAGTGGTTGGAGCAGGTGAGAATGGAAAAGTGAAAGAATTTCCATTAAGAATTGAACCTTTTAATTTTTGAGGCAAAGAAGACATTTGGGTCTTGGGAATACATTTGAAAGGTTTCTCCTACGTAAGGCCATCCCATGGTGCCAGGTGGGAGTGGCAAGTGACGGCCTTTGGAGACAAATGGTTTGATGAGTGTCCTGAAGAGAACAATGAAGAGAAAGGAAGCACAGAGGCAAAACATGATGCTCAGTTCCATGTTTTATGTGGGTGAGTGTAAGTGGGTTGTAACAGGTGAAGGATTATTAAGAATAAGAATAAGAAGAAGAGAGTGTGTGAGAAAAGAAGTTGAAGATTTGAGTTATTTATAGAGGCTGTTAAACAGAGAGTGGAAGCATATGAAGCAGGAAGAGGGTGGGAAGGAGGGAAAAGGAAGGGAGGCTTTCAATTACAGCTCGATTTCCACACACGGAATCTCCCTCCAGCTCATTCAAGTTTTTGGTCTAATTTAATTCTCTCGTTATGAGAGAGAAAGAGAGAGCACGTGTCATATGAGTGTATACGGATACATACATGTAAGAGTTTTAGTTTGGTTGACCGTACAATGTATCATAGATTGGTGTTTCTTTCGCCAGTCTATGCTCCAACACTGAGAGAAACAGAGGAAATCAAAACAGAGGAAAATGTAAAAAGCAATTCTTTTATCATTTTCTACACCCAATCGCTGAACCAAATCAGACCAACCCCTTTAATCCTTCACAGATCGTAACTGAGTGTAATTTCTAAGATAATAGAAAAAGGGTCCCAAATTTGGTTGATTAATTAATCGTGGAGTCATAGATATACATACCCACACAAGCGACCCTTTGGAATGACAAAAGCCAAAAGTAAGGTAAAGAACCTTTTTCTCTGTAACTCTCATTTCCGTACAAGTGGATTCTGTCAAATTCTTTAAACTTTTAATGCAATTATGTAGGGCAACTCTTTATCATGCTATTTTATTTCGCTATTCTTACTTAGAACAAAATATTAATCTTTTAAAACCTACGCATCTACCCAGAAAATTGGAAGAGAGAAAACAAAAATAAAGCAGAAGTAAGTTTAGTTAAAAATAAAATTAAGTATATGTTTTTAGATGAAGTAAAAATTAATGAAAAATAAATAAAATATATGTAAAATTTGATAATAAAAAAAATGTTTGCATAAATAATCATCATTTTATCTGCTTAAGTAGAGATTAATTTTTAAAAGCTTTATGGTATTAATCTATACTAATGGGTTTCTAGAATGAAATTTAAATTATTATATAACCATAACAATTCATTAAATTGCCTGATTGTGTCTATGATAAAAAAAAATAAACATACTCCATTAGTAAATCAATTGCAATTCACATAATTGTTGTTGCACATATACTATCATAATTTTTCATGCGAATGTCAGCTGAGAATTTTTTATAAAATTTTGCATAAAAATAATTGTTTTATATATTTATTTTAGCTTCTATAAATTTTATAAAAAATTTGCTAGAAATTTTTCACAAAATACAAAAAAATCTAAAATAATGTGGTAGTTTATTGTTTGAAACTTTGAGTTTATCTAACTTATCTCTTTATCTTTCATAATAGTCTGAAATTACTTATCTCTCATCTTTCTGCACTCCTCTAACAATCAAACACGATGTTAAATATCAACATTTCTTAACAAATGTTTATTATGTAGATAGATTTGAGAATGAAACTTTTGATTACGTGTTTATAGAACATGATCATATACCATACTATGTTGGTATAATTCCTTATTTTACTTGGTTTATAGTTCTTCCTCTACTTTATGCCTAACATCTCTTGGTGACACTAAAGTAGAAGGAGGAACTCATTTTGGGACATTTCTGTGTTGTAGTTAATCTGAGATTTGGGTCAATAGAAATTTCTGGGCATTGAAAATGTATTGTTTGGACATTTCAACTGCGTGTAGTAGGTTTGATGGTGTAAGTTGAGCCTTTACATTAATGAGGCTGCTACCCACCTTAAACTAACTCATCCATGCATTCAGAATGGACGAAGCATAGAAAACAAATAAAATTAAAAAGTCTTCAACTAATGGTCCCAGATCATAAATTTCTATCTTCTCTATTGTAGTAATTTTTTTTTACTGTTTAAGTATTTGTGATGCTGCGATCACTTTTTGAAGACAATAAATATACTCTCTCGCCTTTTTAAATGTTTAACATTTTATTAGAAGAAAGTATACTTGATCATTTAAAATAATTATGAGATCAAGAGAATTTTGTTAATTTCCATTTAATTGTTTTCAAGTATTTTTAAATAAAAAAGAGTATTAACAAAGTTGAATATACAAGAAAGACCCCACTAGAATATTTGGAAATTGAGAAAAAAAAATCATATGTATAATTTGATTAACTTTTTAACTGTGGATTTTATATATAAAAAAAATTAATGTGAACTTCCAATACAAATATTCTCTAATTTAATCTTTTTATTTAATTTATTTTAGAATACTTGTTCGCGTTTCTCAAAGTACAAAAACTTTTGAATAAGATTTTTTAAATAGACTGTATATTAATTTATTTATTTTTAAAGTTCTACAAAATCTTTTTATTAAAGTTAAAATAAATTTAGCTTCTTCTTACCAAAAAAGAAAAAAAGAAAGAAACATAGGTTCTATAAACATTCTAAAATCTAAATCATACAAAAATATTCATCTGAAAAATGTATTGTAAACACAATAAAATTTTAATTAAATACAAAAAGGCTATGAAAAATAGCATTTTTCAAAGGTCAAACTATTAATTTATACATAAAAAAGTAGCAAGTTAGAATTTTGTGTGGTTATTACGTAGTTAATTAAAGACATTTTGGTTTTTCCCATCACATTTTGTCTTGTGTTGATCTTATAAGAAGAATTCTGGCACAGTCTTGATCATTTAAAGAAAAGAAAAGGTCATCTAATTCATTATCTAAACCCAACTTATGCATTCCATTAAATAATTTTGACTTAGTTGTGTTAAATAAAACCAAGGAGTGATTGGAAGCCGTCATATAGTTATAAATCAACAATAGATTTTTCAAAATGATTGATTGCAAAGACTAATTAAACTTTCCTACTTCAATGCCTCTCTTTAAGATATATCAAATAAAAAAAAGTCCTCCCTTTTTAGAATAAACTAATTAAGACATGACATTCATAAAATTGTTGTTATTATACGTGGTTTTCTATAAGAATTTGTCATAAAGAATTATTATATAATAAATTAGAAAAATATCTAGGTTTTTTTTTATTATTAAGTTTTATATTGTTTCTTGAATCTTGCATTTGTTGATTGGTTGACTATTATGGAGAGAACAGTTATAAGAAAACCTTATAACATAATCATCATGTCAAGCAGGTAAAGCATATCCCCACATATATGAAAACCTTTGTATCACAGATGGATTTTTGACACGTTTGCATGCAGCACATGATACATGCATGTGGTTGAATTGATCACACACTACGTGTCAATGTCAAATTAATATATGCTTAGAATCACAAACCCAGAGTAATTAGGAATTCCAAACTTGTAGTTTTGCGTCTGATAATAGGCATGATATAATCACAACAATAAAACAAAAATAAAAAGTAACCCAATATGTCAACTCTTAACATATTGAAGAACTTGGAAGTTTAAGCAAAATCATCTGAACCTGAATTTAAGTTTGAATTTGAATTCAGTGCGTGAACTGGGGAACTTTTTTAATCGTGTCTGTTGATCATATACACAACTTGAACGTCACATGATGCTATATATTAACAAACACAGGAGCACGAGAAGAAGGAACTGAATTCTTCATTGATCTTATCGTTGATCGTTTTGACTTTGAATACGTTTATAAATAATATCAAAGAATCATATCTCTTCTCTATATATTTACGTTCATCAACCAATAATATCTGTTGGTAACATGAAATAATGTAACCCTATATTTTGATATACAAATGATTGAATATTTTATTTGTTTGGTTTTTCTTTGTCTTCCCACACGCATAGAACACTGGCAAATGTGATTGTGTGAAATGCGAGGCTACTTGGAACTCTTGCTGACATGACTCGTTGAATGCATAAATGTTTATGTGTGTGACTATGAAAGCCACGTAAGTGGGGAAATTAAGAAGAAGAAGAAGAAGAGATAAGGATGATGGCAACTTCACTTCTTCCTTTTTCTTTTCTCGTATCAATGCATTTGCTCAGAGTGCGTGCATATTCAATTGCACAATTCCACACATTCAGAACATTAACATTGGAAAACGAATTTCAGAAACACTATGCATCCTTCCATCAATATTGGAGCAACCACAAATCCGTATTCTCCTTCAGCAATTCTTCTATCATATGCACGTTTATTCAAGCACAGATGCACCCAACAACAATACTATTATTTAGAAATATATCCTTTTTAATACTCTTTGGCTCACAAACGTTGTTGTTTTTTTTTTTTTTTTTTAATTATATTGTCTTGCCGGTTCTATTGGGATGACAGTAGAATAAATTTTATTAGTTTCAAAATTAAGTTCATGTGAATGTTATTTTTCACTTAACTCGTTGCAAAAAATAAAGAGTGAAGTGAACCGAATTAAATAATTATATATAACATGGTCGAGGTCTTATCCTTCTTCACGTAATAATGCATGATTCAGTCCAGAAAAAAAGAGGGAGGTGACATAGGAAACTGGAATAAGTTAGCAGCCACACACAAATATATCAGTAGTTTGCAGGTACGTACAAATATCAGAAGGGAGAATTTTTAGCCGCTTCAAAAATAAAATTTATTATTATTTTTTGGATTGAGTCTGTTTATGATAAATACCATAAATTATAATAGTTTTTATTAAATATGTTAAATTCAATTTTAAAAATAAAGATGTAAATAATGGTTTCGAAGAACAACAGATTAATTTAAATGTTTTTAAAAAGGTATTATTCTTGTTGAAGAAAAAACTCTGAAGAGACATGATTGTGGAGTGAAGAGACCAGACTGAATAATTGAGCAATAAATTTAAATGAATTTGACTTTTCTCATAATCTTTGAGCATTGATTAGGGTTACAAATAAATAGTCAACGGCTCGTAGGATCCTTCTTTCCCCCACTTGTCCGGCACTACTTAATGTAAACCCATCCCTGCTGCATCCTCTCTCTCTCCCCCTCTTAATTTCATTCACTTTTTTTTCATTATTTTTCAGCAGACAAGGACATTGAA